ACACGCCCAGGAGCCCTGAGCTATTTGGGGACTTCAAGAGGAGAGAAATTTACTAAAATCATGGGTATTTGAGGGTACAAACCCATGGATGGGCTTGGCTTTGAAAAAAAAACATCTTATCTGAGATTCCTTTTATGGAACAAAGTTTTGATAAAGCCAATTTAAAAAGTTTATGTGAAAAATAATTATTTTTGCTGCACTTTATACAAATAATCAGGCCACGAATAATAAAGCAAATCAGCCTTACCATGATTTATTTTTAGTAAAAATGGGAAACTGGAGAGAGAAAAATTATGTTTCAAGAACAATGGTACACCTGTTATTACATTCTAGTCTCATGAGTTGTTTTAAGCTTTTTTTCCCCCTGCAATTTAGACTGACCCCGCTCATTCCAACTAGTGATTCCTGCAGCTCAGAAGACACAAGAGGGGGCTGGGTGCAGTGAATCATGCCTGTAATCCCATCACTTTGGGAGGCTGAGGTGGGTGGATCACGAGTTCGGGAGTTCGAGACCATCCTGGCCAACATGGTGAAACCTCATCTCTACTAAAAATACAAAAATTAGCTGGGTGTGGTGGCTGGTGCCTGTAATCCCAGCTACTTGGGAAGCTGAGGTAGGAGAATCATTTGAACCTGGGAGGTGGAGGTTGCAGTCAGCCAAGATCGCGCCATTGCACTCCAGCCTGGGCGACAGGGTGAGACTGTCTCACAAAAAAAAAAAAAAAAAAAAAAAAAAAAAAAAAAAAAAAAAAAAAAAAAAAAAAAAAAAAAAAAAAAAAAGAAGAAGAAGAAGAAACAAGAGGGATGGGTAATATAAAAATCTGGATCAATATTCTAATTCTGGTCACATTGGAATCACCTAGTGACCCCATATCAGCATGGTTTCAACAATTGCCAGGTTCATGGAAAGCCTTCTAATTTAGTTTACTTGGGATAATTTTGCTTATTTTGCTTTACTATTGTGGAATATATTGCTGTTGGACTCTTTGTGTAGAAATACAGGATAAGCTTACCAAATGTTTTCTTAAACTCTTATTGATCTTCCAGACACCTCTTTTTGCCGAAACTCAGAGTTATGAATGGCCCTCACCATAGTGATGCTTTCTGACTGAGCTCTCTACCCTGAATACAAGAGACCCTAACAGTTAATCAGAAATATCACTGCCCCTAATCAGCATGAAGACGTTACAGAGGTTGGATCTTTCTCTCTCTGCAGCCATTAGGGTTAACGGTTCTCTTATAAAATGTAGTGGGGAAATCTCAGAGGCGTTCGAATCAGAGCTACTTTATCCTGAAGAGGGGCTAGGTAAAGCAAGATTAAGAATTAGTGGGCTGCATTCAGTAAGGCATTCCATGTCACAGGATAAGATAGGAGGTCAGCACAAGATATATAGATCATAAAGTTCTTGCTGATCAGACAGGCTGCAATAAAGAAGCCGGCTATAATCCACCAAAACCAAGATGGTGATGAGAGTCATCTCTTAGTCCTCACTGCTATACTCCCACCAGTGCCATGAAGTTTACAAATCCCACGCCAACATCAGTACATTACCATATATGGTCTAAAAATAAGAAACTCATGAATAGTCCACACTTTGTTTAGCATATAATCAAGAAATAACCATAAAAATGGGCAACCAGCAGCCCTCAGGGCTGCTCTGCCTGTAAGGTAGCCATTTTTTGTTCCTTGACTTTCTTAATAAACTTGCTCTCACATTACTCTATGGATTTGCCGTGAATTCTTTTTTGTGTGAGGTTCAGGAACCCTCTCTTGGGGTCTGGATCAGGACCCCTTTCTGGTAACAAGCCGGGCTTGTTATGAGGCTGAAATGAATTAATATTGTCAGGGCTTAGAATAGTACCTGGCACATGGTATAAACAACAGAATTGCCTATTAAATAATTAACCTCTCAAAATCTCTCTCCAAGCCTCCCAAGATTCACTTGGTTATTGTATTGTAACTAATGCAAACAAGAAACACATTCAGTGGGCATCTGACTCTCTGAAGTGAGTGAATCATGATAAATTCAACTGATTAATCAAATTACCATTCATCTGGCATTTTATATTTGCAAAGACAGGCCTAATTAACCACAACAATCCTTATTGATGTTCCCAGTGCTCTTTCAGCCAGTATTTTCCAATGTGTTGACTTTCAGGCTTCCTCGATTATCATTTTATGGCTATTTCAAGACCACAATTAGTATATTATTATTGTGTGGAAAAGAAAGGGAAAGAAGTTAAAATGCAAAACTATTAGGTTTGCTTTCTGTTAGCTACTCATATTAAAGATTGGTGAGGGAATAATACGAAATTACTTTCAGGAATAAAATTGGAATTATCTTTGAGTTTACTTTAAATATTGAACTGTAGTTATAATCCTGTATCTTTTCTGCAGGAAGGTGTCAGGCAGGAACAAGGGTCAAGCTGGTTGCTTTTGGCTTGGACTTTGCATTGCTTTGTTAAATAGCACCTAGAGAAACGTGAAATTGTCAGAGGTGTTTGAACCTGAGTAACTCCATCTTGGATAGGGGCTGGGAAAAATGCAGCTGAGACCTACCAGGCTACATTCCCAGGAGGTTAGGCATTCTCAGTCACAGGATGATGGAAGGTCAGCAAAAGATACAGGTCACAAAGACCTTGCTGATAAAATAGGATGTGGTAAAGAAGCCGGCCAAGACCCACCAAAACCAAGATGGTGATGAAAGTGACCTCTTGTCATCCTCACTCCTCATTATACACGAATTATAATGCATTAGCATGTTAAAAGTCACTCCCACTAGCACCATGACAGTTTACAGATGCCAAGGTAATGCCTGGAAGTCACCCTGTATGGTCTGTAAAGGGGAACAATGCTCAGTTACAGGAATTGCCCATCCCTTTCCTAGAACACTCATGAATAATCCACCCCTTCTTTTTAGCATATAATGAAGAAGTAACTATAAGTATACAGTCGAGCAGCCCATGCTGCTCTTCTGCCTATGGAGTAGCCATTCTTTATTCCTTTACTTTCTTAATAAACTTGCTTTTATTTTAGTCTATGGATTCACTTCAAATCCTTTCTTGTGTGAGATCCAAGAACCGCCTCTTGGGGTCTGGATCAGGACCCCTTTCCAGTAGCAAAGTAACCATTTGCTATCCAAAAATGTCCTGCCGACCCATTGGTCACCCACTGTCCACCTAAGGGAGTGGCCAAGACTGAGTGGTCTCTAAATTCCTCCATGGCAGGAAGGAGTCCAGAGGGTGGGATAGGCACCTCCTCAAGATGAAAAGAGGGTTCTAGGGACAGGTTCCTTAGCCAGTGTTGGGGGAGAAAGGAATAGGGGGCACATATGTCTCAGGAGAAGTGCCAGCTACTCTGTGGCCAAGTTATCTCAGGATAAAGACGTCGTGCTCTGTCAACTTTAGCTGTCTTATTGTTATTAGACTGGATCGCAGAGGAATTCATTGGATCTGTTTTCCAATGGTTTGGAAATTTTGCTTGCAGATCTAGAGCAGTGGAAAATTTTCCCCGTCACAAATTCCATGAGAAGGCTAAGAGAAGGAACGAACAGGGCAGCTGCGTGGGGCATTGTGCTGCCTGAAGAATGAAGTGGTAGGAGATTCTCCTGATAATCGAAATGAGTGACTGAGGAAAAAGTCCCAATCAGTCAAGGCTTATTAAGTCAGCTTTAGCGCATGTCCCTGAAAACACATGAGCCACAGACACATCAGTGGCTGTTCTACAAAGAGGCTTTCAGGAGGTAAGTATTTATACATTTCCTTAAAGTAGGGAGGCAGGAAGGGAGAATGGCAGGTAGGCTGTAAAGAAATGGTTCCATTCTTGTGAGACTTTAGCTAGTGCCCAGTCAGGTGTACTGTTTACATATGATAAGGTGAATGTTAGAAGAGAAAATGAGAGTAAAGGAAGAATCAATGATGCAGGCCTCACTGGGCATGTAAAGGAATGACTTGTCTTTGTTCTGTACCTCAGGAGGTAAGCCTGCAATGAACATGATCAGTGTGGAATCAACGGACTTTAGTTTCAGGAGCTAAGCTTAGACTGTAGACCTAAAATTCTTGTCTAGAGGCAAAGAATTTACTTATGAATGATCTGCAGGGGAGGTCCTCTGTAGACGCCTGAGGCAGGAGGTATAATGCTTGTAACAGCTATTCATCTGGAAGAGGGTGTTGCATGACTCAGCCTCCAGGCTTAGTCTTCCCTTTTGCATAAGGATTTTGGGGTCCTGAGATTTTTAAATTTTTCTTTCTACCCCCATGTGCATCTGAGAGGGAAATCTTTTCCTCTTCTCTTTTCCTAAATTGAGTGTTACATGCCCATGGGAAAAAGCATCACATATTCAAATTAAAAGCAGCTCAGAATGGGTGTCAAAGGAGACTGAAATGGGTGCACTGAGGTGTTCCAGTTAACCAGAGAAGGCTCAGAGCTGGTGTGTTCCTGCTGGCAGTAGCAGAGGGAAGCGTTGTGTGATGCTCCTGAAATCTAATCGCTCCAGGTGCATTGACACAGGTGCTCCATTATACTGATGCGCTTTCTTAATGTGGGTCTTTATTTCCTCTGGGTTTTGAAATTGCCTTTTGCAAAATTGTAACCCCTTTCTTTGAAGTAAGAAGTAAAAGGGCTTTGTGTTTCACCGCTTCTGGGCATGGAGGAGTTAACTCTTTGACAGAGACCTCAGGAAGGATGGAAATCAGAAACTTTCTCCCTTCTCATTCTTCTCGTCAACCTTCTGCCACTATGGCAGGAGTCCCATACTTGGGTATTAGTAGTGACTGATAATATTAGGAATACTAAACTAATATTATTGATTAGTATTACTAATACTAGTAGTACTAATTACTAGGCACGTCTGAGAAGAACGCAAGGGGCAGACACATCATTACTACCAGTAGTAGTAATTAGTAGTTACTAATAGGCATGACACCTGTTTTGAAGTAGAGAAGTGAAGGTCTCTAGAAAAATAAGTTTTCATTTAAAGACATCTATGAAGATTTCTTACCAAAAACCATCAGCGGAAGCTCAAGCCAAATGTTAGTGAGCCGGTAGACCAGGAATGGCGTGATGATGCCACCAATGTCACACATCGAGGAACAGACGAGGACGCCAAGATTCCTAGGATGCAGGAAACTGATTTAACTTGTTAACTTTTCACAGTGCAGCAGTTGTCTCCCACCCACCCCTGAATAAATACTTCTTCAAATCATTAAAATGTTCAAGAGCTCTAGTGTACACTGCTTAGATGAAAGGTGCACCAAAATCTCAGATATCACCACTGAAGAATTTATTCATGTACCCATACATTGCCTGTTTCCCAAAAACCTATTGAAATTAAAAAAATTAAATGTTCAAGAATCTAAAAAATTATTCATGTTAATTTCAATGCACAACATTGATATTTATATATACGTAATTCCATTCATATTCCATCACTTTTGTTTTATATAAACTTTAAGTTTTTTTTTAACTTTGGGAGGAGCAATTGTTTCTTTTTACTTCCATCACCTGGCTTCCCTAAGCTGTTTCTATGGACCTGTTTGTGCTGTTTCAAATCAATCTCCCCTGTAGCCATTGGATAATCCCTGTCTTGCAATTCAATTTTCTGTTCTTACCATGGCTTCTGTATTTTACCCCAGCCTCTAAGTGTGAGAGGTAAACTGCTGGGCCTGGCTGGACCTTTAAGTGTTCTCACCTTCCCTTACACTGTGTTTTGAAGGTAAGGTGTCCTCTGTCTGCACCTGTGGTGGTTCCAGTCAATGAACAAATGTCCCACCCACCCTCTTTATGCTAAGGAAAATACACTCACCTAATGAACGTGGGGTACAGCTCAGCATTGACCAGGCAGACTATCTCAAAGGCCATTGTGATCCCCATTCTTCCCAAGCATGAGACAATAATTTTTAGCCATTGTAGATCTAAGGGGAAAAGCACACCACTTATCCATACATAGATGATTCCTCATCTTCAGACAATGCTCCAGAGGGGGATTTGCATGGAGAAATTCCCAATTTCAGAAAGGGACAAGAAAGAAAAATGACGTCTTCTATAGACTCATGTTAATGTCAGCAGATTCTCATGTTCATTCATCTTAACCTCAGACACAATGCTAATTCTCTTTTTTTAAAAAGACTTCATTTTTTTAGAGCAGTTTTAGGTTCATAACAGAATGGAGAGGAATAGAGAGCTTTCCCACATAACCTCTGCCCCTACACATGCATTACCCCCTGCCCATTATCAACATTCTCCACTATGTGGCACATTTGTTACTTGATGAACCTTCAATGACAACTATAATCACCCCAATCCATAGGTCGCATTAGGGTTCACTCTTGGTGGTATACCTCTGTGGGTTTGGACAAATGCATAATGATCTGTATCCACTATTTTAGCATCATATGGAGCAATTTCACTGCCCTAAAAACCCTCTGTGTTTTCTTAACTTTAGACCTCAGTTGTTAATGACAATGGAGTTATACCAGTTTCCAAAGCTGGGCCAACTTTATTTAGTCTATAGAGGTCAAAGAAAGAGCAAACTATAGGCACATTTAAACAACTGCTAATAACTAATGGATTCAAATAAATCTCCTTATTGCAAAAAGGATTCTCTTATACAGGTGTTTGTTCCCCTTAATTGAGAAAGCATTTTAAAAGGAAGAAAGGAACTAAATAGCTGTTTATGGATGGCATTTACTTACACTTTTCTCATTTATTCTGCAGGTTGATACAGGGAGGTCAAGAGAGTCCCCTAATTAACACCTAGGAAGCGCTGGAGTAAGACCTTGACTTGGGCCTACTCCACCCCATGGCGCATGCCCTCTGCTCCAGGTCATCTTGATGGCCCGTAGCATGGGGCTCTGTAATCTCTCTTGTTATATCATACCAAGAAACAATTGGGTGCAATTTTTCCTAAAGGGAGGCTGGCCATATAAATTTGCTCAGAAGGGTCCCAGATACTGCCCTCCAACTCGTCTTTCCAAATTGATTTGGATGACAAATTACATGGTTTTCCTATCAATGGGCTGTGACACTCCCTCTCTTCAGGGTCTTGGAGACAAAACTCCAACGTGGCCTGAAACTTACCACCAGGGGTAAAAACTGAGGCCAGACAAGCTGCCCCTGCCACCATATTTGACACGGCCCAAGGGTAACGGCGGCCGATGCGGTCGATGGTGAGGATGACGAGGAAGGCAGCTGGGAATTCAACCAGGGCAGAGTAGAAAAAATCCAGGTAGATATTGTCCCCTGCAAGGCCCACGTGCATGATGAGGCCCTGGTAAAGCACAGAGCTCGTGAACCTGAGCAAAGAGGAGAGTTCAGGTCAAGCCAAACACCAAACATGGGCAACCAAAAAAGAGAGGCTTTTGGAGAAATAATGTGGATTGTAGGTCACCTTTCCCTGTGATTGTCTCCTTGCTAGTCCCCATCCCACTACTTTTATAATCTCTGATCCACTTCAGTGGCTGGCTGTGGCTGGCTGGTTTCCAAGAACCAGAAGAAGGGAAGAAATTAGAATAGTTAGAAATAATTAGAAATTAGAATAATGTTTCCTAGACAAATGGAAAGCCAAGAAGAATGTCTTAATGGAATGACTTTCATTTTTTATTTTCTTCATTTATTTTTTGAGACAGCATCTCACTCTGTTGCCCAGGCTGGAATGAAGTGGTGTGATCTTGGCTCACTGCAAACTCTACCTTTTGGGTTCAAGTTATTTCCCTGCCTCAGCCTCCCTAGTAGCTGGGATTACAGACATGCACCCCCACACCCCACTAATTTTTGTATTTTTAGTAGACATGTGGTTTTGCCGTGTTAGCCATGCTGGTCTTGAACTCCTGGTTTCACATGATCCTCCCACCTCAGCCTCCCAAAGTGCTGGGATTACAGGCATGAGCCACCACGCCTGGCCAATGGAATGATTTATTGAGTAAAACTATGTCAAGTTATTAGTGGTTGTGAATTATTTCTCTCTTTGGGGTACTCTTGTACAGTTGAAATCAAAAGAACTGACTACTTAATTCAAATTTTAGGAAGCCAGAAGACCAAATGAGTACAGCCTACTTCTTGATGACTTCTCTTTCAGCCTGATACAAACAACATTTGGAAAATGTTTCTAGCTTTATTAACTAAAAATGATCATTATATGTAATGGAAAATATGAGGATAATCAATGAAAGTCACAATTACTGGGGAAAAAAAAGAAGGATAATGAACCAAATTTCAAAGCTGCCTTTCCCATGCACTATTGTAACGGTTGCTAAATTAATTCCTGACAAGCTTTGCTTTTGTCAGTGATTGTAAATTTCCATTTGCCTGGGTGGACATCCAATGTGCCCTGAAAGGATGCATCCCCCACTAGAAAAGGCGTGACCCAAAGCTCTGAGAGCAGCTCAGAGACAGCAAACACAATAAAGATCAAGTCACTGGGCTGTGAAGCCACGGGAATTATTCTTGGGGATTATTCCTGTTCATAAATTTATTTTTTCTCCAGGTAGAAAAGAAAAAGGGAAAGAAAAGTCATCCTCCATCCCCTCAAACATTTTTGGCCAGCTCTATGATAGAGATCTATGTTCATCATCAGTTAAGTTGTACCAATAGTTCTCTATCTGGGCTATGTATTAGAATCACCTGGAGATTTTAAAGACCACTGGTTCCTGAGCTCTACTCTAGAACAATTGAATCGGTATTTCTGGGGGTTTTGGGCTTGGTATTTTGTAAGCTTCTGGGTGATTCCAATGTGAATCCAAGGTTGGATTGCCTTGATCTGTGCTTAGGGACTACACTGATGTCAGTATTTGCCTGAGAAAAACATGATCAGGAAAACCTACTATACACGAGCCACACATTGCTGCCCACCGTCGGTGCTAATACGGGAATGAGGTCAGGTTTTCTTCCCTTCCTTAATATGGATGATTGTGATTAAAAGAATTTGGAGTCATTTCAAGGTGAAAAATATTCCTTACCAGTTGTACATCAATATCAAAGTATGTTTCCTTATCTGAGGAGTTCTGACCAAGTCAAAAAATGAAGGGTTCAATTTCTTGCCAGCTTCCTCTTCAAGTCTCAGGTGCTAAGAAAAGAAATAGAAAGGATGGCTTGGTATATTTAATGCTGGTGTCCCTGGGTCACGTAGGGAATAACAATAATTCCTTACCCATGCTGAGTGCACATCTCGTGCCCAGCACTAGAGCAAGCACTTTCCACACTGTCTCATTTCATCTTTGTTTTTTTTTTTTTTTTTTTTTTTTTTTTTTGCTCTGTCGCCAGGCTGGAGTACAATAGAGCAATCTCAGCTCACTGCAACTTCTGCCTCCAGGGTTCAAGTGATTCCCCTGCCTCAGCCTCCCAAGTAGCTGGGATTACAGCTGTGTGCCACCACGCCTGGCTAATTTTTGTTTTGTTTTGTTTTTGAGATGCAGTTTCACTCTATTGCCCTGGCTGGAGTGCAATGGCATGATCTCCACTCACTGCAACCTCTGCCTCCCGGGTTCAGGCAATTTTCCTGCCTCAGCCTCTCGAGTAGCTAAGATTTATAGGCATGCACCACCACACCTGGCTAATTTTTGCATTTTTAGTAAAGACGGGGCTTCACCACGTTGGCCAAGCTGGTTTTGAACTCCCGACCTTGTAATCTGTCTGCCTTGGCCTCCCAAAGTGCTTGGATTACAGGCATGAGCCACTGCACCCTACCAATTTTTATATTTTTAGTAGAAACAGGGTTTTGCCATGTTGGCCAGGCTGGTCTCTAGCTCTCAACTTCAGGTGATCTGCCTGCCTCCACCTCCCAAAGTGCTGGGATTACAGGCATGAGCCATCGCATCCAGCCTATTTTCTAATAAGCTTAATCTCTTTTTTAGCCTCTGTGGAAAGAAAAGGTTTGAGGTCAATGTAGTGGGATCTACTAAAGGCAAACACTAAACATAGATAATGAACACTTCTGTAAATGGATTCTATTTAAGAAGGCAGGGGATTGCCTAAAAGCTTTTGAGCTGGGTGCCATAGCTCATGCCTGTAATCTCAGCACTTTGGGAGGCTGAGGTGGGCGGATCATCTGAGGTCAGGAGTCCGAGACCAGCCTAGCCAACATGGTGAAAACCTGTCTCTACTAAAAACACAAAAATTAGCTGGGCGTGGTGGCACGCATCTGTAATTCCAGCTACTAGGGAGGCTGAGACAGGAGAGTTGCTTGAACCAGGGAAGTGGAGATTGCAGTGAGGTGAGATGGTGCCACTGCATTCCAGCCTGGGCAGCAGAGCAAGACTTCATCTCAAAAAACAAACAAAAAAGGCTTTTGGGACACTTTCTATCCAAGGTGTACAAAATTCTAAGAAATCATGTGTGTTTAAAGAGCTGCTTTACTGATCTATGGATCTGACCTGAGGATGGTTAATATGCAGATGATGGGAGTGATGGGCACCTGGGCGTAGGAGGCTGGCGAAGGCATCTTGTGAGACAGAAGCTCCTCATTTGACCTTTAAATGGTTTCTGGTTCCCTTTTAGTTTGATGTTTTCCACCTATTTGAAATGTTCTCCCACGGAACCACAAATCTTAGTACATAAAATACTCTGTTGCATTCCACTACAGGTAAACCAAAATGCAAGGGGGCGGGTCTTCCATGGTTCCCAGCTGAGATCACTGGCGTGCATGAGTCTTCCCAGACCCTCCCTTTCTCCTGTTCCCTGATTTGATCTTAAGGTCCTGGCTCACCTGAAGGGAGGTAGTTAGAGATTTTCCATTTTTCTTTGCGATGTGCTTAATGACTCTCATGGCTTTAGCATTCTTGTTCTGGGATATCAGCCACCTGGGAGACTCAGGTATGCACCTAGGGTACAAGGTGAGTGGAGGGCAAATCTTAAGGAATCTTCCTTACCCCTTCCCTCAATTTTTTATAATCAGATTTCTTTGAGGATCTTAACACAGTTGGATCTACAAAGAAAACATCACTCATGTAGGGCGATACGTGGTTCTTTCCTCCCTCAAATGCTGACTTGTAGTCAGCATTGTCCAGGAATTCTTCGGATTCCCTCCTCAGAGATTGCTAAGCAGAAACACAGGAAGCAAGCTGCAAAGCAGGGTGCAGCTGCACATCCAACTCCTGTTGCAAGGGGGAGAGGCAAGCCTGTCTGAGTGGCCCTGGGCTTTTCAAAGGCCTGAGAACTGGCAGAGGGGTCAAGGACTGGACACTGGAGTATGCAAACCATTGTGGGGGTGGGGAGCAAGTATGTACATTATTATGCTCAGTTTCCCAAAGGAATGAGATAAGCGTTTGGTCAGATGGGAAGAGAACTTAAAAGACAGATTGCATAGTTTGAGCTTGATGTAGGAGGGCTTGGGGAGCTCTTGCAAGTTTTTGAGCAAGACTAAAACCATTGACTCTGACTCTGGAGGGGACACTAGGCAGCTGGGTTCAAGGTGAATGAGTTCAGGGTGAATGGGAGGAGGAGAAGCTGAGAAAGGAGGTGGTAAGGCTGCTGTGGCAGTTGTGATGTGAATGTAGGAATGCCTCAGTTGGGATCATCACTCTGGGAGAGAAGTTGCTCTGAGAGGCAGGGTTTAAAAGGAATCTGAAATGGATGTTTTTGTGGAAGTGTAATGGAGAGAGCAGGAAGGGTCACTCTCAAGAGTGTAATGGACTGAATGTCTCTGTCCCCCCTCAGGCTCATGCATTGATGCCCTCACCCCCAGTGTGCAACTTGGAGTTGGGGCCTTTGGGAGGTAATTAAGTTTAGATGAGATCTGGAGGGTGGGGACCCCAGATGTCCCTATAAGAAGGGGGATAGAGACTAGAATGTTATATCTCTCTCTGCCATGCGAGGGCCCACAATTGGGACATATGCAAGCAAGGAAGTGGGCTCCCATCAGGAACAAATTCTCCAGCACCTGGATCTTAGACTTCCCAGCCTCCAGAACCATGGGAAATATATTTGTAAGTACCCAGTCCATGGTATTTTTGCCACAGCAGCCTGAGCTGCTAAGACACAGAGTTTTACTGGCTTTTGGATAAGAAACAGGCATCCTGGAAGGATTGAGATATTTAATTCTTAGGCAAGACAGCCATTGGAAGAACAAGTGGCTAAATCTACAGGGAACTAAATAAGTGGGTTTGTTGCATGGAGAGAGATTTGATCTGATAATCCAGTGTCCCCTTTGTTTTATTTCAGATAATCTCACATTAGGGGTTTCTAATAGTTTCTGGTATTTTCCAAGTGTTTCCCTTGGGCAGGGATGACAAACATATTTGGTAACTATGATTGATTGGTATGGTCTGTCTGGAGTGTCATGTTGGCCTTATCTGGGATGAAGAACACTGTAATTAATTGGAGATGTCTGCCTTGCGCACAAGTATTGGGAAATGGTGACGCAAGTGCCATGTTCTGCTTTCTCCACCCTAAAGTTTTCCCTGGGGGAGGGAGAGAATAGTAATAGTGATATTTTCAGTCTCTTCAAAGGGCCTACAGTCCAAATTGTACCACAGTGACTAGAAGCTAATTTAAACACCAAATAAATAATGTGGAATTGTAAGATCCAGGTCATAAAAACTTTAAACCCAAAGAGAAAGGACATTTGATTTACAGAAGGAGAGACAGGTGAAGCTTGTGATTTTTATCCCTGAAACATGGACTTGGGCTCTTTGTGAAATGGGCCTGGAGAATGAAAGCAATCTCAGAATCAGAAGGATAGTGTGCATTAAGGAAGGTAGCCTTTTTAGCAAAATAAAATACTTTGATTTCTTTCATTTTTGTTCCAAATGGACTTACCAGTAATAGAGCAAGAAGCAGAAGTTGGGCAGAGTAACTGTGAACTGCAACCACCTCCAGTGAGGAAGTGCGTAAGCCACCCCGGCTAGCACCAGGAGCCCAACTGTAAAGGCAGCTTGGTAAAAAATCCCCACTGTTCTCCGATACCTCAGCCCAACAAATTCTGTAACTGCAGAGAGAATTCAAGTGGTCAATGCAATTCAATACAATAATGAGTTGGCTGTCCAACTATCAGGAAACTAGAATGCCAACCTAAAAAATATAGACACATTCTAGAATATTCTATACAGATTTTTTTTTTTGGTTCTTACTTTGTTATAACTACTGCTGCTTTATTAATTAATAAATCTTTTAGTTCCATTGTAGATGGGATGAAAGGCCTGCCAACATCAGCAAACACATTTCATTTATAACTTCCATGATGCAATTGTATTTCAGATATATGCAAGATTTTGACCTAGAGTAGTAACTCAAGACCTGAACAAATGAATCAAACATTAAATTTAGACTGTAGATGATTTTTACATAAATGAACACCTGAGTATAACTTGTTCTCTTACATGGGTTTAACATTTATCTTGCAATCCTGTTTATTTGTATAAATGGCTTGGTAACTTAACAGAGGGCTGAAGTCAGATAGTGCTGGCTTGCAAAAACTGGTTTTACATGCTGGAGTATTTTACAAGCTGGTGGTTCAGCCCATTGGTATCAGTCATAGTGAGAATATTGCTATAAAGATGCTATGCTGTTAGAGATCAAATATTCTCTTACAGTATACGGAGCTTAACTATAACTCTGGCTACTAACGAATAGGATGTAAGTTGTATTCCTGGTTCTAAAAATGGCTGGCTGAGTAACCTAGGTTGACTACAGTACTTGTGTTTTCAGTTTCCTTATATGTAAGTTGAAGATAATTGGAGTTTACTAGAATAGATGTTTGCAAAGTATTAAAGTCCTTTATAAATCTACTATATCTCTCATCACTGAATCTTCTTTATGAATAGGTCTGGTGCAATGGATTTTCTTTCTACACAATACTTCAGGGTACAGAAAACAAAAATTCCAAAAAAATTATGTAAGAACCTGGCACTATGTCACACTTGTTTCTGCCTTCACTTTTTTTCCTTATAAGGAGGAATGCTGAGTGAGTTGATATGCTTTTAGAAATTCTTATGATATAGATAGAAAAAAACCTCTCAATATTGTCTTGAAGCTGGGTCCCATTTTCTGGATGCCACCCCCCACCTGACTCTATTTTGGCAGTGAGGTTCCTTTGTTCTCACAACTGCTAGCACAAGCACTCTTACTCAGGATGAAGCCTATTAACCAGCCTGCTTTGCTGACCAGTCCTTGGATTACGCGAAAAATTAACATCCATGTATAGGTTGGGGAAATGGCCATGAGAACTCCAGACGCAGCATTTATGAGGATTGTAGTTAGGAGGCAGAGCTTACGGCCAAACCTGCAGGGAGAAAAACAAAGAGAGGGAATTGAGTTCATTTTGATTTGTGGAGATTGTAGAAAATGCATGGAAGTTATGGAAATCTAAACAAAATTGGAGGTTAACTTTAAATTTTGTAAATCTGGGAGGCACAGACTGATAGCTACAAAGGGAATCTGTGGCTCCAGGTTCATGTAGCACTTTTCATCAGCACATTCTGTGTCAGTTTTCAGCATGATAAGCCCCATTCACCCATGGGTTCAAGTACCTTCTCGGTCCCACACTGTGGCAGATGTTCAGGGAGGGAATAATTCTTCCAGGCCACCCAGTGCTGAATACTCTATGGTCCTATCTAGGTCTTACATCGCCATGTGAGTTGCAGCCTTTGCACTAACAGTTTCAACCAATTTATTCACCCAAGAATGTTTTCGCTTTGAAAACAAAATTCAGTGTTCAGTATATACCCCTTTCCTTTTTCAACATTGCTTGTAAACTTTGTGAAAATTGTCTTTGGTACCACACATGTTACTGTCCTATGGAGTGTCTGTTTGGAGCACCCCAGGGAGAGAGCTTCCACACATCAGATTGGAGAGACTTAGGTTTTATCAGTTTAGGGATTTGGAAAGTTGTCTCAGTACATTGAATAGAGGAAAACAATTGGTAACCTGGGTTTAATCATGACCTTACTACTTACTATGATGTTGGGTAAGCCATTCAACCATATTCAATGTCTTCATCTGGAAAATACCCATCTGACTCAGCTGAAAAGAGGATTAAGTGAGATATTACAGGTAAGGAGCTTGGCACATACCCACCTCTGACTCCTTCCTTCCTTTCTTCCTTCGGTTTGCAAAGCTGCCTCAGCTCAAAGAGTTGACTTGGGGCCCAATACTATTATTTTCATCATGTCCTCGTTTTGTTGTAAAAGATATCCTAATCCACTATTAGTGGATATATAAAAAAAATTCTTCATAGAAAACAATGTTTATTTAATGTTTTTCCACTTCAATTGGAAGGACGACTTTCTGTTATTAGGATTGCTCATTGGATAAACATTGTTTAATTGATGCTTTTACTGTTATGCAACTATATTCTAGTGAACATGCCAAATACTAAACATTTCAAAATAACCCACATTACTTACAATTATTTTGGAATAGTAACATTTTAAATATGAAATTTAAAGGTTAAGCAGTCACATTGGTAATTAGTGTTAACTAGTAAATTTCTTAAGTCTTAAAACTCTGTTTTGACCATGTAATTTTTAAAAATTTTTTATTTTTAGTGCTGGAGTACATGTGCAGGATGTGAAAGTTCTTTTTATAGGTAAATTTGTGCCATGGTGGTTTGCTGTACCTACCAACTCATCACCTAGGTAACCATGTAATTTCTTAATTCTCAGTCAATGGCTCCCTACTATAAATATACAGCCTTTCAGCCTGTAATTCAAAGCCTTCCAAAGTCACATCTCAACTTAATTTTTTAGCATTTCTTCCCATATTCACCTACCCAAACCCCTTCCTTTATCCTCAAAGAGTTGATAATCTATAAACATGTACTCAAATGGTACTTCTTCAACTTCCAAAGATGCTTCAGGCACATGATAGAACACCATAGTAGTGCTCCACATAGATGGACAAACCTTCTATGTGATAAGAGGGAGTATTCATTATTTGAAACTGAGAGCAAGAAAATCAAATCCATGATGTGGAAAAACTTCACTGGGGACCATGTTCCACATATGGAAACGATGAACTTAAAACAATAATAAGGCATGACTAGAATAAATTTGGGGAATCTGGGATAGAGGTTTGAGACTCCTCCTACCCCTCAGCAGGGCCACTTAAATGGTTAAATTAAAAACAATCAGATGAAACAGGAGAGGAGGGGGCGGACTTCCTGCACTGCTGGTTTGGTAAGTCTTTTAGCTACTTGCGACTCAGAATGTGGCTGAGGACTATTAGCATGGGCTTGGGAGCAGCATCACCTGGGAGCTGGTTAGAAATATAGGATCTCAGGCCCACCCAGACCTGCTGGACCAGAATCTGAATTTTAGCAAAATTCTCAGAAGATTTATATGTGCCTTAGCATTTGGGAAGCAGTGCTTTAATTTCAAGGAAATTAAAGTTTCTTTATCCATTGGAAATTATGGATAATGAAATCTACTTTAAAAGGCTCTTGTGATCCTAAATAAAATATAGCAAATGAGGATGCCCAATCAAGTGACTAGCACACAGTAAAATCAGTAGTGAACGTGTTTTGGAAGATCCCATATAGTTGGATAAGTTTGACTGGGACTTTAATGCTGGTTTTGATGTAAGGCAGGCAGGCACCAAAATTGGGGCTTAGTCCGGGAGGGTTCTTGGCTTTGCCCAGGAAAGAATTCAAGAGCAAGCTGGTGTTGTTAAATAGCAATTTTTGTTGAAGCTGCAATGTATAGCAGCAGCACCTCTGCTCCTTGTGGAGCAGGGATACCCCAGAGGCAGTGTGCCTGGAATAGCAGCTCAGAGGCGGCTGTTCTGTACTCATAATTATACCCACTTTTAATCACATGCAAATTAAGGGGTGGCTTATGCTGAAATTTCTAGGAAAAGGATGGTAACTTCTGGGTTATATAGTCATTGCCATTAAAAGGGGTGGTGATTGCCTTGTTGCCATGGCAATAGCAAACTGACATGGCACACTGGTGGGTATGTCTTATGGAAAGCTGCTCCCACCTGGGACCTGTTTTAACTAGTCCTCAATTTGGTCCAGTGTCCAAGCCCTGCCTTGAGAGTCAAGTCCCTCCCCCAGCTCACTTTGATTTAGTTCCATCGTGACATATAAAAGTAGGGTGCTGGCTTTTGAGAGATGATTATAAGACTTACAGAAAATTTGCAAGCTAATTGTTAGCACAACCATCATTAAAAATTAAATTATATACATTTACAATTAAATTATATTGAAAACAAATGTAATATGCAAAAAATCACTTTCCAGTGATTTTACTATATTTGGTCATCTATGCTTGTGAGGTTATTTACATCTACTGTATCTGCATGGTGGAAATGATGCACAGTTCTAGCCAACTCTGTGTCCTGTAACATCATTTTTGTAGCTTGAAGTGGACCACAGTGGGTATATTTACACCAGAGAAATCAGCAAGCACTACAAACTGAGGCTTTCCCTCCCAGAGAACCAGTTGTTAAACATTTACAAGCATGGCACACTAAATGCAGCACTTATGGCCAGGTGTGGTGGCTCATGCCTGTAATCCCAGAAGTTTGGGAGGCTAAGGCAGCCAGATCACCTGAGGTCAGGAGTTCAAGATCAGCCTGGCCAACATGGTGAAATCCTGTCTCTACTAAAAATACAAAAATTAGTTGGACATGGTAGCCGGCGCCTGTAATCCCAGCTATTCAGGAGGCTGAGACGGGAGACTCGCTTGAACCATGGAGGCGGAGGTTACAGTGAGCTGAGATTGCACCACTGCACTCCAGCCAGGGCAACAGAGTGAAACTCTGTCTAAAAATAAAATAAATACCACAGCACTTATAGTTACTGCTCATTAGAGTAAAAAAAACCCCTGGAATTGGTAAGGAATTGCTTTTTTTGTCTTATGTGATACTCAAAGTCATTTATTAAGAAGTTATGGGTATATTCTTATGTCCATTCTTAATCTTATTTACAATCTTTTCGCAATGCCTTTCTGTTTGTTTTTGTTTTATAATGGATACCTACCTGATCAGCTTGTTAGGCCATATTTTAAAAGTTATTCATGAAGGACAATGCGTTTTATTTAATGTGAGTTTAATCTGTGAATACAATGGGTATCCATGACATTCTTGTCCCATTGTATAAAATCTGAAAATTGTAGGCATTAACTATACAAAAAACAAATTGCTTTCTCATTTCTTTATGCCACACTTCTTACTCCTGCATGAAGGCACAGAACAAAAGGAGGGCAATGACCAGCCAAGCTTCAGACAGTACAGAAAAAGAAGTTGAGGCATGGAGACAGCCTTTGGGGAAAAATAATGAGTACTTACCCTGACAGAGGGGATTTCAACAACAGTAACAAAATAATGAGATCATTTAAGTAGGCAGATAATTGACTAGGGCTTATAACTCAGGAATGTACTGTCAGTAGGGATTTATAACCAATCTCCTACTTGTTAAGTGGGATGTGAATAATTAACTAATTTCTTAAGCCACTGTGCAAGGGTTAAAGATTGAGTCACCCATTTACTCCCAGCCTGCCAGGGAGTGAGGGAGTGAGCGTGAGCATCTCCACATGATGGTGGTGGAGGCAGTGTGGCAAGAGTGAACGCTGCAGGGCACAGGCTGCCCAGAGGTGTGAGGTGGACTCCAGACCTCCCCTTGTTAATGTGTCTCTCCTGACTTAATTGATCATCTCTAAAGAATCATCCTCAGTTCTGCTGCAACAAAAAATAAAAGCAAATGACCTTCCCTTTCACCTTGCAAGCCTCCCGCAGAAAGCCCCAGGAAGAGCCTTGCCAGGGCAGCTGAGGAGACAATAATAGCCGCGGGTGAGGGATGAGAGGCATGCGGCCCGCACCTCCACTTTGACCCCTCTTCCCTCCTGCTGCCAGGAGGGCCCTAGGCCCCTGTGACGTGCATATGCCTTGGGGATGTGATATATTAAGCCATCGCTTTTAATCTTTAATACATTTGCAAGTTTTAATTCTGCCTAACAATATAATACAATCAGATAAAATATTCTACTTGCATTTAACATTAAACTTACAGGTTTGGATTATATCATAGATATAGTTGGGGATGGCATGGGAGGGCAACAAGCATACAAATGCATTTACTTTACTATTTATTTCAGTTATATATTAATATTTTACATGTAAGTATATAAGTATATATTTCTATCTAGATAATAATTATATGTTTGTGTGTTATATATAATGATATATAGTTTTGCATCATTAGCTCACTAGGTGACTACTGATTAAGGGGAACACTATGACCCAAAATGTTGAGCACAGTGTCTGGCCATGGAAAACACTCATTAAGCAGTGCTATGAATATTCAGTAATTAGCCCTGATGGCCAAGTTAGCTAAAGTGCTTATCAACTATGAAGCAAACTTTTTGGTTCCTTTTCCTTTTGAGGACACCTAAAAGTGTCTCATTGGTCATCAAGAGAGCAAAGCTGTGTGTTATAAAGAAGTTGCAACACAGTGAGTGTGGGATTTCAAAATGCTGGATAAGTAAGATAGAGCAATAGCTTGATTTGTATGAACACTGACTACTAGCTTGCTGAAGACACAGAGTCAGCAGAGAGGCCTTTTGTCATCTCTCCAGGGACACTGACATTGTAGGGGTGGACATTTACCTCTCTCGTGGTAGACAGACCCTCCTTCTCTTTCTTTAAGTTGTGGGTTCCACACATATAGTCACATCTTGCCCCAGGGACCTAATTCGAGAATCCTGCAATCCCACAGGTAATAGGGAGATTCTACCTTGGGCCTGGTGCTGGGGGCTCCCAGCATATGCGAGACAAGCAGAGGACAGGGTTGAGCTCAGAGGTCCTGAAGGCTGATGGGCAGGAGGAGGGCAATGAGGCCAAAAAATGAACTGGGAATTACAAAAGGGATGAGATCATCTGTCACTCTCCCTTCTGACTTTAAGCTTCTGCATAGCCCACGTGGAAGACTTGCTGTGTAATGTTGAAACAACTGTTTGTAACCCTGAAGAGTTTGAAAATAAAGACATTAGTCATGATTATCCAAGCAGCAGAAGAAATCAAAGATTATAAAAACACCGACATAAAGACCAGGAGATTGTGGTCTGTGTGCTTGGGAAAGGATGGGATTCAAGCAGGGGCAGGTGCATCCAAGTGTTCGCCAAACTTTTGGATTTTTA